TATATATATATATATATATATTTTTTACTTTTTTATTAAGGAATCTTACCTGTCATGTTATTTAGTTGTGTACAGAAAGCGTGGACAACCAGCTCTTTGGTATTTTGCTCTACTAATGTCTTGTTTTTGTTTTTTTCTCTTTGATGAACTGACATGCAGGCTGTAGCTCACCTGTGCTTGTAGAGGTAGAAGGCAAACCCAGAGAGGATGAGGGCAAAGAAAGGAACTAAGATGGCCGCTGCCACAGAGCTGCTGTTTGTGTAAAGGTTTGATGGATCCATCGCCATGGTTACAGGACCTGCAGTCACACAGATACACACACAAGCACACATTAAGAAAAACCAACACTGATACAAACACAAACTTTAGCACTACTTGGCACATGTGTTTTGATGTTTTCTGCATTTGCAATCTGTATTTCTTGTTGCTGGTCTGAGATGATTTTATTTGACTGCTATTTTTTCAAATAAATAAATATAAAATCTATAAAATATTTTATTGCTTACGCAATGTTGTTAACACAGTGTGTTGTTGCTGGCAAGCAGACTCACCTTGTCTTGTCAGATGGAACTTGCCAAAATCTTTACTGTGAATGTGCCCCTGATAAACAAAAGTCTTCTGGTCTGATTCTGATGTAACCTGCCAAGAAGAAGAACAAAAAAGTTCAGCAGTTTAAACTGTCAACTAACAAACAAAATCCTTAAACTGGTAAGTTTTTTGGGCTAAAGTTGGGAATGCGCCTATTAGTTGTCTTGCAACAAAAATCAGAACTTTTTTTATATTAATCTGAATCAGCAAAAATCAGAAATTAGAACAGCCTTACAAAATTAAATGGCACATCTCCTGTAGAAAAATATCAAACAAAAACACTTAAAAACGTAAACAAACTTATTTATACAGCTGACAGTAGATAAATTACATCAGTATGTTTTAATAAAGTTAAAGAAATGAAATTATGTTAACATAGTTACTGCAAGTTCATTGTGTGTGTGTTTTTTATCCACAGTGTGTACAGACAATTTTCAATTTTTCAATTCATTTCAAAAAAATGATTCAATTCATTAAAAAATAACTATATACAATAAAAAACCAAGACATACACAAAACAAAAATCAAAATAAAATGAAAGGTAGCAGAAGAAGAATAAATCTTATGTCTGCCCCTTTTATCCCCAGAACATATTCAAATGAAACATAACTTACAAAACACTAAAAAAACAACAACAACAACATAAAAACATCAACTCAAACAACAATTCATAGCTTCACGTTTTACTTTTTGCATACCTTCAAATATCTAGCTTTTATTTGTCTTTTAAATATATACATAGATCTGGCATTTTTAAGATCATCCTCCAGACCATTCCACAATCCTGTACCCTGGATTAAACTATACCCTGGATTAAAGTACACATTTCTTTCAAGCAAGTATGAAAACATGGCTTCCCAAATATTTCCATCCACTTAAGATAATAACAACTGTCTCTCWTAACAAAGTTTAAACAAGTTAAAACAAGTTTTAAAAGATCTGTTAACTCACAAGTGTCATGGTAGCCATGTTGAGGAAGTTTCACACAATAAAGAGAATTCAGTAATTGTTCCATGAGTCAGCTGATGGAAATTTATGTTTTATGTACATCTAGTGCAGGGGTGTCAAACTCATTGTTACAGAAGGCCACATGACTGTTATGGAGACCTTCAAAGGGCCAGTAGTTAACGTTGATGTTTCATGTTTAACTTTGACTAAACATGAAACATCACATTCCTCATCTCGCTGTTATGGATGAGAGCTACTAACAAATAATAACTGAGCTCTATGTCACTGAAACAGTGTTGTCATCCTCTTATAAGTGCTGTAAAGTACTATGTGCATGGCTGACTAAATGTGAAATAAATAATACAGAAATACTATTAAAAGTAAAAACAACAGTTTTACTCACTGATGGGTTGTGGTGAGTAGCTGCCAATCTTAATTCGGAACCCTCCCATTTCCTGACAGGAAATTCCAATGCATAACTGACATGCATTATGGGAGATGTAATTTTTGATTGATGATGGCTTTAAAGCAGCTTGTTTTGGGACATTAATACAGGGATATTCAACTAAGTTGCTCAAAGGGGCACAGTCAGTCAAAGCCAACAGCTCAGGGGCCGAGAACTATTATTTCTTTCACTTTTTATATGAGTTCATTTTGAATCATAAATTTAAAGTTTACAATTTTATATAATTTATTTTCAAAATAAATGTAAAAAAGGCAAAAAACTGTTTTTGGCAGGATTTGGTGAGCCACACGTTAGTCACATGCAGCCTGCAGGCCTTTGGTTTGACATGTGACCTATTGGATTAAGAAAATATGTGTTTCTTTAAACCTTTGCTGCATAAATTTTATATAAAGTATTTTTTTCATCTCTAATTAACAGCCTTATCTTTCCTTATGTTATAGTCTGCTCTCTACACTGTCTTCTCTTCCCTTTTCAGTTTTTCTTATATATCTATCCAAGCATCAAAACACCAACAAGCAAAATTTCAGTTCATGGCTAAGAGACTGTATCCCCAAACCACCACATCATATTCAAGACATGATTCTTATAAGGTATTCACTTTAAATAGAGCACCATATGCTGCAGGGGAACAGGGAAGTTTACAGGAGTTTGTACATTGTACATCACACAGAGCTGACTTTCTGTATTTCTTTACTTCACATCTTGCAAAYTGAAACACAACTTTAATCGACTGAACATCATACAGAAAATCCCATTTGTACACATGACGGAAAATTTATGAATGTACAAAGTAACCATACAACGGTTCAACTATAAAAGAGCCTCAAGTTTGTGCCCAAAGGAGAGTTACATGCTGGAGCAATTTCTTGGTGAGAAGATTAACTTTCCTGGAGTCTCGGCTGCATGTCTGGGCAACTCATGGTGACAAAAAGACACATTCAATCTTTAACTGCTGCCGGTATGACAGACAGGCGATTGTTCAGTCCACAGTCACCAGTAAAGTGACATCTCACAAGAGAGGACTATGATTTTTTTTGTCAATACTGAGACAAAATGGTCAATTTATATCAAGAAATGCAATGCATTGTGTTTTGAGGGATTTCACCCATATCTCTTCTTTTTGTACTTAAAGCGTACACACTTATGTGGATGATAAAATTATTGCCCAATGCATTGGGCAATATAAAATATAAAATATAAAATAAAATAAGGCAAGATTTTAATCATAATCCAATACTTTAAGAACTTGAAAACAATTATTTAAAATGTGAACACACAATACTGCAGGCTCAAAAAATTAAAGTCTTCTTATTTATTTGTTTGTTTAAACACACACAAAAAAGAAAATGTAATAATTAATCTAGAACTTTAAAGCAACAGCCTCAGACAGGACAGAAGAAAAACAGCTGTAACAGATGTGTTTTTTTCCAAACACAACATCCTGCTAAACATYAAACCGAACAACACCTTTGGACCAAAACACAAGGACAAAACACCCAGTCACAAGAGTTAACACTAATATATATTTCTTCCACAAGGAAACTGGCCAGCAAACTAAAAGGAGAGCTTGAAAAACCAATTCTAGTTGTGAATTCCATTTTCAGATTTTTTTTCTTGTTTTTTTTCTTGGTTGATTGTTGTAATGTACACAATGTGTTTTTTTTTTTTAACCTTGCAGTCTGCTAGTCCTGGCACAGTAAACTGTGCAGCATTAGAGACTTAAAGAATACATGCCATGCTTTTAAATTCTTCTTTTTCACATTTAAATCATTCAGTTGGGGTCTATATAAAGTGGAACTGCAATGCTTTGGTGGGAATTCCTCTTCATTCTAAATCCACAAGCCCCTTTTTCACCCCTTTTCTGAGGTGCGTCTCAGATCAACTCGTTTAGATGCCGTCTCTTTAAATACAAGCAAGGTGCTTCAAAGATAGAGATTTGCTAGATGGGTGTAGGACTATAGAGTGGTGCAGAAACCTTTTATTTTTGCTTTTTTTAACAAACACATTAAAAGATGTCAACAAGGGAAGACTTGTCCATCCAGTCGTACATGTTGGASCCAGAGTTCGACACAGAGAAAGTGGAGAACAACGACAACAAAACAGTAGTTGGTAAATCCAGACCTTATTTGGCAGTTCTGTCACAAATACTGTAAAGTAATAGTTCCAAAGACATCATAGAAAATATAGAAAACTTAGACTGAAAAATATGACCCAAACAGAATACAAAGATATCTTTGCAGTACAGGGAGAGACTAAACTAAAATTCTCTGCACTCTCAGATTCTCCAAGTACACAACAAAATAAATTTATTGGCTTAAAAAGGGGATATTGCATGATATGTCCCCTTTAAATAAYAGCTTTACATTGCAYGGAACAGCCAAAACCAGCTCCAAAAGTCAAAATGTAGTTGTCCGACTACATCTCAAGGATAAGAGACTATTTTTTGAGGCCAGCAACGTCTTGTCTTTCAAAACAGGGAAGACAGGTGGCCTCAGGTATATTTTATCCAACATGCAGGTTTGACTCTTCTTCTTGGGCCTTTTTACCACTGGTCAGACTATGAAACATGTGTTTGACASACGTCACATGTTGATCAATAATTAAACAACATATGAATGACACTGACCCAGGATAGATGAGTCTGTGACACTTCATCAAAGTGAGATTGTTCCCACAGCATCCTGAAACTYTTCAGTCATTAGAACCAACACAGTTTTAATGTTAAAAGATGAAACCCCTTTAAACAGTCAAGCTGCATGCTGTTCAAGCAATTCAAATTGGTGTGAAACAGTGCTAGCTTTGAATCAGTATTCAAACACATTCAATTTAATGTTTCTATTGATGATGAAAATGAAATATGAAATAGACATTTTAAGTGCAATGAGATAATTAACTTTTTTTCTTACATATCCATCCATAGCCCAGTTGTCATTTTTAAACTTGCTGTAGTAATGCTCTGTTGGTCCCTTCACCTGGTAAACCTTTAACAGCAGCTGGTTTTCCTCTGACTTATAGGTACCTAAAGAGATAGAGACAGAAAATTTACATAAATATGCAAATACACTGATTAGCACCTAAACCTCTGTAAATCTACATCATATTATCTTCTAATTTGTCTTGAATCTTGCCACGGAAGAAAAAAAAGGAGAAAGAAAGAGTTGAGGCTGAGCGGTAAGGAGGAAAGCAAACAGATCGACTGAGTGACAAACAGAGAAAAGAAGTCACCTTGACATTTTGAATGATCATACTCTTTGCTTTACAAAGGATGTCACACATTACTGGGGAAGAAGTGACATGCACCCTGCAGCTACAGGATTATTTTGTTTATTGTTTAAACACAAAAACTGTTAGTTTTTCAATATGACAGAAACATGTAAGACATGTCACAAATTAAAGGGAAAAAATCCATTAGAAGTCTAATTTGAATGCAAAGCATTGTTAGTTTTGTGCACTCAGTAGTTTCTTTTGTGTCATTGAAACTATATATCTCTAGCAGACATAAATACAAACTACATCATGTACACTTGATCCCTGCTGGAGGTTATGTTGTCAAGGTTACAATTTATTTCTGGCATTGGCAAAGAGTGGAACAGATATACAGCTTCTAAATAAATTCCACCAATGCCACCATTAGTCAGCCACTGTAAGGTTGGAAAAGAGCAAATGCTGATCATTCGTTAGAGTTTGTTTGTTCAGTTATCTTTGTCAAAGACAGAAAACACACAAAAAACACGAAACAAACTAGTTCATCATGGAGGGAAAACCAAATGCATTTCTTTTAGTTGAGACAAATATGCTGCTGTTGAGCATCTACAATTGTCCCTAGTGTGAAAAACTAACAACAAACAAAAAAAGCTAAAAGACAAAACTCAAAGAATTGCATAACTTTTGAATTTCAAAGTCATTCAGGCATCACCGTTCAGTCCTCATCATTTACAATCTATAAACACTRCCTCGCCTGCCCACAAAACAAACACAAGCAAAACAGATAAGTGCCAAWTTTTGTTTTGTTACTTGTACTGACCTTGCTAAAGTCCAAAGCTCTTTATCAATAAAAAAAAGGTTAATTAAAGTAACTAATTACTCACAATGATGGTCAGTACTTAAAATCAATTGGTCAAACTAGGTGAGCATTTTTCTTCTACTGGAGTCATCTTTTCCTCTGTGTTGTACAWAAAAAGTTCTCACAGCACATTTTTAGTATTCCATTACAGAGCCACTTTACACATGCACACCTCAGCTACAAGTCTCAAACCCTGGGTTGTTGTTTATGACTCCGTGTTAAAATTTATTATCGGGGACATTTATAGTACACACCATTTTGCGCTGTAATCTTAAGGTTGGGTGGTCATGTGATAGACAGTGCATTTTATTGATCTATAGRGCCCTCACTCCTGTTTTATCTCCTTATATTAGTTTGTTTCCATCTTTCTTTCAAGCGCTTATAGAAAAGGTGTAGTAGAGGCCACTAGTCTTTTAAGAACTTGCAAAATGCAGCTTTTCTCACCATGARCCTGCAAACTACACTGTGTGCAGAATTATTAGGCAAATGAGTATTTTGATAACATCATCCTTTTTATAYATGTTGTTTTACTCCAAGCTGTATAGGCTTGAAAGCCACCTAAGAATTAAGTAAATTAGGTGATGTGCATCTCTATAATTAGAAGGGGTGTGGTCTAATGACATAAACACCCTATATAAGGTGTGCTTAATTATTAGGCAACTTCCTTTCCTTTGGCAAAATGTGTCAAATGAGAGATTTGATGGTCTCTGAAAAGTCAAAAATTGTGCGATGYCTTGCAGAGGGATGCAGCAGTCTTGAAATTGCCAAACTTTTAAAGCTTGATCACCRAACAATCAAGCGTTTCATGGCAAATAGCCAAYRGRGTCGCAAGAAGCATGTTGAAAAAAAAGATGCAAAATAACTTCCCATGAATTGAGAAAAATCAAGCGTGAAGCTGCCAAGATGCCATTTGCCACCCGTTTTGCCATATTTCAGAGCTGCAACCTTACTGGAGAATCAAAAAACACAAGGTGTGTGATTCTCAGTGGCATGGTAAGGAAGACTGAAAAACGACCACCTTTGAACAASAACCATAAGATAAAAYGTCAAGACTGGRCCAAGAAATATCTTAAGACTGGTTTTTCTAAGGTTTTATGGACTGATGAAAAGAGAGTGACTCTTGATGGGCCTGATGGATGGGCCCGAGGCTGGACCAGTAGAGGGCAGAGAGCTCCACTCTGACTCAGATGCCAGCAAGGTAGAGGTGGGGTACTGATATGGGCTGGTATCATCAAAGATGAACTTGTTGGACCTTTTCGGGTTGAGGATGGAGTGAAGCTCAACTCCCAGACCTACAGCAGTTTCTGGAAGACACCTTCTTCAAGCAGCGGTACAGGAAGAAGTTGGTATCGTTCAAGAAAAAAACATGATTTTCATGCTGGACAATGCTCCATCACATGCATCCAAGTACTCCACAGCGTGGCTGGCCAGTAAAGGTCTAAAAGAAGAAAAAAAATTACATGGCCCCATTGTTCACCTGACCTGAACCCCATAGAGAACATGTGGTCCCTCATAAAATGTGAGATCTACAGGGAGGGGAAACAGTACACCTCTCTGAACAGTGTCTGGGAGGCTGTGGTGGCTGCTGCACGCAATGTTGATCATAAACAGATCAAGCAACTGACAGAATCTATGGTTGGAAGACTTTTGATTGTCATCGTAAAGAAAGGTGYCTATATTGGTCACTGATTTGTTTTGTTTTTGTTTTTGAATATCAGAAATGTTAATTTCAAAATTTTGTCTTATATTGGTTTACCTGGTGAAAATGAACAAGTGATTTTGGTATAAATTTGGTTTTTATTAAGTTGCCTAATTATTCTGCATCCTCCTAAGATAGTCAAATCTAAAAAAAAAAAACCCACTCTAACTTCCAAAAATATTAAGCTTTGATATTTATGAGTCTTTTTGATTGATTGAGAACATAGTTGTTCAATAATAAAAAAGATTTCTCTCAAATACAACTTGCCTAATAATTCTGCACACARTGTAGAAGAGCATATTCAAAGCTTAATTCTTTTCCTTTTAGTTTTAGGCTTTAAACAGTTAATACCTGGTTCACACAACAAGATTTTGAAATTGTCAGCTGATTTTCAAAGACTGAGAGACCTCACACATGATGACAAAAAAACATAGATATAACGGGTTTGGTCCTACATGAACCCAAAACGAACAGTTGTCACTCACAAACAATCAGATGTCAGACAGAAACTCACKTGAGACTTCTCAAGATTACACAAGTTCAGAGTWAATAAACACGACAGATGAGGAAGAAACAATGACGATAGTGGAGACTATTTTTAACAGCAAACAGCCRACTAGATTACTCTTAACACGCAGCAGAAATATCTCCTAAGATTCTCTTTMGAGCCATCATGATAATCGGAGAGTCCTTAAAATTACTGGAAGGGCAAAAATCAGGGGAAAAATCACGGCATTATCTTGTCGTGAGAACCCAGCATTAGGCAATCTGGTTTTGTTTACATTGAAATGTATTTCTTAAAATGTTTACGGATGAAATTATGTTGAATTGGGTTTTTAACATCAGTTAGACTTTGTCCTTTTTGGATTTGCTTTTCAGTTTCTTATTTGTGTTCCTATGTTTGATAGTTTTTCATTGTTTAAATGAGGTTGCCAGATTCCATTGAAATTAATGAATGGATCTTTAAATTTATCAGAGTTCGCWCTCATTTGTATGCTCTACTGCTCTGTTTCTTCCAAGCAAACTGTCAGTGATTATAAATATTATATGCACTATAGGGGACTGCAGCTTCTCTACACACAGTTGAGGTTGACAGCAGGATTTCATTTTAATTTTCTATTTTATACTTATATCATCAGTACTCTCGTGTTATTTTTCACTGAATTAGAAACCTGAAAAATGTTGAGCTACTGGATTTTGATTCACCCTGGATAACAAAACATAACATACTTTATACAGAATATATATAGCAARCAGCATTGCCTATATTTGCATAAACTGTTCGGGTCATTGGGGTTTAGGTATTTTATATTTCATAAGCTGTAAATATTATGAGTTTCAGTGCTTCTACTAATTCAAGACAATAAAACTGACTCATAAAACTGGCCTATTAGTATAGTTGTATATATTGTTCATTTGCAGGTTGAAAATGTAATTATGAGTCTTTTGGGACATTCAAAGTAGAATGTGTTCTACTCAACAACTGATATGACAACTTCATCATTTTTCTTGTTTTCTTTTACCTGACAGTCTGATTGACACCCCGCTGGTTTCCAGTAACGTGACGTTAACACGGCCACTGCTGGTATTGAATCCAGTAACTGTAAATGTGGTGGACTGCTTCTTCCCCAAATACTCATAGAAACCACTCCATTCAGAGTTTGGAGAGAAAACATCGACAGGAACTGCATAAGAGAGCAAAAACATACACAACAAGAATTGTAAAGTTTACTGCTTCATAAGTGAAAAGACGCAAATGCATAAATTAGGATAAATACTTTTTTAAAGTCGTTGTTTGACCAAATACCACATATGCATGAAAGGTCATGAAAAAATGATCATGGTAACAAAAAAGTTAATACGATTTTTGTCCTAAAATATCAGACTTTTTTTTTGGTGCTTGCACTTTTTTTGAGATCAGTATCTGCCTAACACTAACATTCAATACCAACATTTATTTAGACTCATTTTAAACCTAGCAGTTGCAGTTCTCTTGTTGAAATTGCCCAACTTCCATATTTTATTATTTTTCCTTTTATCACTGGCCTTTTCTAACAGATTATATCCATATGAAAATTGCTTCTTGCATAGATGTTTCTGGCTACAGCAGTTGAATGTTTTCACTTATTTTTATTCACCTATGAGAACTCATAAAACTTGTTTTTTTTTTCTTGAGCTGCAAAAGTAACATAGACTGAAACCTMTTATCTTATTGCTCATGTCTGACAGTTAAGATTATTCAAGGAAAAGCTTCAACAATGAGACTAAAACAATTTTATAAAATAAATTTGACATGGGATATAAAGAGGCTGCAGCAAAAATGAAATAGTGTTTATGCCACGAACCACGGATCTTGTTCTTCTGTACATCTGACTCTCCCCTGCCTTTGGAAGTTACTTTCACTCCAACTGAAAAATAAAAAAGTACAAAGTTTAGTTTTGCTTGCATGATACTTAGACTAATAATATATTATTTAGAGCAGGCAGGAAGGAAAGGAAAATTTAAAATAGTTCATGTGTGGRAACTCTACAAAACATGAAAGGTATTTGATTCTGAAAAAAAAAAATCTATTACTTTTTGTGTTGCAAGACTCATAATGTAATGTTATGCTTCAAACTGTACAACATCAACAGGACACTAAAAGCTTTCATCAAAACCTCAATGGGAATGTGGCAGATGAATCTAGAAACCAATTCAAAGCTAACTGCACAAGTTAGCATCAAGTGAAACATGCACTAAGGTGATACTACTGTTCTGCATGGGTTTTAACCACCATTAGCCTGATCATCACAAAGAGTGGCTAGGGATACCGGTTCCAAAGTAAAGAAATCCTCAACCACCTCCATGGATGACATCAAGCTGAATACCCCCAAAAATTAAGACATCAGCTCCCTGATTCACTTCACCAGGACATACAACAAAGACATTGGAATGTCATGGATAAACATTGATGAATTGTGTCCAAGAGTGGCAAGCTGATCACAACCGAAGGATTTGAACTACCTGAAGGCAACTTCATGGATGCCCAGGACAGCTACAAAATACCTTGGAATCCTACAGTCAAATGGCARCCATGATGAAGCAGCAACAACGTTAGCCACAACCAAGTATCTTCAGAGATCAAGGCAGGTCCTGAAGAGGATCTGCCTTTTCATTTATACTTAAACAAGAAAATCACTCCAGTTTTCAAACTAAATTCAACATTTTCACACACAACATAAATGCCATGAAGCTGATCGGCACTTATCTGCACAAACTAAATACATGTCTATTACACCATTAAGATTTAACTTTATGCACTCAGTCAGACCATTAAAAAAAGGCAATGCATWATATAAAGAACAACTGAATACCTTTACATAAGGGTGGTTTTCCTGACCATCTCCCATCACTTTTACAGGTTCTGTGCTCTGATCCTCCTAACAGATAAAAACCCTCCTGGCACGTGTAAATCAAAGTATATCCCAATGTAGGCAGGTCCATGGATCGAACATCTACATTACTCGGGGTCTCTGGCTGTCTGCACGAATGAGCTGAGAAATGGGCAAAAGAATAAGAARTGTACGCTTACAGCACAATCATCTTCAACAGAACAGTCAAACTAGCAATTTGAATTAATTTGAATTTTTTCTATTTTTTATGAGGACAAATATTAGCTGTATCTTGACCTTACCTATGCACTCAGGTTGAGTTCCACTCCARGTGAGATTTTCCAGACATGCTCTCGTTGTTGAGCCAAGAATGTGGTAGTTCTTGCGGCACTTGAAGGAAATCTTGCTGCCGACCTGTATATAATTATGGCACAATAATTTTTACACCTTTCTTTCAATGGGGGCAAGTTTGACACAACTCTGTCTCAATCTTTTATGTGTTTTTTATTGATTTACATTTGATTATCACCTTATTCTGCTGCTTACGCTTAAAACTATACATGTCTTAAACAACATACAAAATGCATTGATGCAATGTAGCAGTTAGCTGAGTCATTCAACTTGATTTCACTTCACACTTTTTTTTGTCTGATTTATTGCTTTTTTTCTCCATCTTGGCACATCCTTTTATTTGATTAGAGTGGTACAATTCTGCTGCTGATTTGTAAAGGTCAGCTAAATGTTTAATGCAGCCCATTCATCCTGACACCCTTTTAATTTCTCTTTAAAGCTTTTAATTTAATCTCTACCACTTATTTTAAGACTTGTTTTAGCAAAGCAATATCTATTCATGTTGTTAAAATAAGCAACTTTTTTAAATTCAATTGTAGAAACATTTACTAAAATCTCCTACCCAGAAATAATGAAAAAGTATTTTATTAGTTGTAGGTGTAACTGAAGCTTAGGGTGAACATTTAAGGCTCTCACCTGGAAGCCCTGGGCCATGACCGGGATGCCGTAGGCTGGAGTTCCTGGATCACGGCAGCTGTTGAAGGCTGGGTCTGTACTCACAAAGACAAATAAATGTAAACAATAATTAACAAATGTTTATGTTGTTCTTAAACAAATAAAAAATTGAATCTGATCTTTAAAACTAAATTAAGTATACAAGTCCTGTCCCCTTTATATATTATACAGAACAATTGTTATTATTTATCATAGATTATTCTAGGATATGCTACTGATATCTAAAGAAATTAGCTTAGCATTTGCATGACTTATTCAGTTGGTTTATAGTTAACATTTAGACAAAGATAGCCAACAAAGAATTTTTAAAAAAATGTATGCAGTCAGAATTAAATGTTACTTCCTCAAAACAAAGACAGTATAATACATTTTAATGTACAAACTGAAACAGTTRTTTTACTAGTGAACAGTTTCTCAAAATTTAACAAAACTAGTTTTTTTGTCAGTCTAAAAGCAGGTTGCATGACCGAAATATAAGTTAAAAACAATATGATGAACCTATTGAATAATAGCTTTAAAGCTCTTGTCCTTCCACCCCATAATGAATAAAWTAATCCAAACTTTTCTATTTTGCGCTTGTAATTTGGATAATTTTATGTTGTTGCAAACACTGTTCATATTTTGAAATACTGTTTGTCACATACTGTACATCTTTCATGTATGTGAAGGCAAGTAATTATTATGTGTCTTTTCTTTCAGTTACCTATACAGGATGGTTGTTGGCCACTCCAACTCCCATCTGCCTGACAGACTCTAGATGCAGAGCCCACCAACACATACGGAGCATGGCAGTAAAATCGGACCTCTGACCTGTAACAACAACAACAATAACAAGTATAATTTACATAAAAAATAGTAGGAAAGCACAAGAGTGTCTGTGGGAAAGCACTAACAGCCTTATCAATTCTCATAAAGATATACTGTAAATATAGGCAAAACAAAAACAGGTGATTTGATTACTAACCGATAAGAGAAGGCATCCCCCTCTCTGAATCCGCCTCCTGGAGAACCAGGATCACCACACAGGACAGCTATAAAAAAAAATCATTAACAGTTAGTTCTTTAGCAGAAGTGAATTTTTAAAATCACAGATAAAGCTGTACATTAGTTTAACTTAGTGTAAGGCAGTTAGCAGCATGAACAGACAACTTACGCAAACATTGTGGAACGTCTCCTGTCCAAGTTCCGTTCCCTTCACAAGTTAATACAGCAGCAATGGACAACTGATAACCTTGAAAACAGCTGTAGCTAATACTGGATCCCCAAGAATGATCCGTTCCTTCCACCTTTCCAAAAAGCACTTGAGTGGGGGGACCACACTGGATCACTGAAACAAACACACAAACACTGCTGTGACTTACATGACATATTTATTCTGTGCACTGTGGTTTAGTACAGTTCAGACAATTCATTCAGATATTTGTAGATAAAACTAACCACTAATGCGTTCTAACCCAGGAGTCCTCAAACGTTTTGGGTCTGGGGAACCCCTTACAAGCATGAAATCTCGTGCTGATTTAAAAACAATTTATTGCCATTTTAACCCCTTAATGCCACAGGGATGATGATAATAAAAGTAATGATAATAATAGTAATGATAATAATA